TTAATGTGTATTTCCATACTGCCCTTTGATTAATATTGTGACATTGAATGATCTGTTTTGTCATCATTATTTTCAAATAAATCTGGGTTTTTTTTAAGAAAATCTCATCTGAGTCAAGGCATCATAAATATATCTTAAAATGTTTTTGGTTATCTGCAGACCTTACAGTCAACATGCTGATAATGATTTTTTGTTCTTAAGATGACTCCAGAGATAAAATGACTCATTTTATGTGATGGAAATAACCTTCCTACAGGGTGTTGGAAGGATGCAATAAAGATCCCATCAGATGTTAAAATATCTGAAAAATTCACTAATTTTTTCACAAAGCCAGACACACAGACTTTTCATGCAGAACTGTGTATTAGCAGGGAAGACAGATTTTCCTTAAATGAGAACAACAACTTTGATCTTACTGCACTTCTAAATAGCCACAAACTCCCAGCAGCAGCACTGAAAAGCTTATTTTGATCCAGACTGGATGCCTGTCTGTGTCTCATTTTCCTTTTCAGGGACTTTTGGGTGGACTAGACAAATGCACCATAATGAAAGAACTGGAGATGAGGGCCCAGACCTCAGGTGACATGCTTCCCCACGACAGTGAAGGGAAGGGCATATCAAAACAGTGCAACTTCCAGCAGTCAGAGGGGAAAGAGTTATGACCTTCTTAAATCATGCACAAGATGATTAAAACCAAGTATCATTGTACTGATTTGTACTGAATTCATTAGGACACTCTTTACCCTTAGTTTAACCAGTGGCAGGTGATTGCTTAATTTCCACAGGTCTCCTCTGATGTCTGATGGTAACTGGGAGCTTTAAATAGATTGCTGAATCAGGTCCATTTAGGGATCCTCAATGGATCTCAGGTTAAAGCTGCACTGCAAGAGACTTGGAAGAGGTGGCCATAAAAAAAGAGGAAAAAAATGACAAAAAACGAGGCAAAGCAAAAAAAAAATTTGTCTGTGCTCTCATCAATCATATTGCCCCAGACAACCATTTACATTTAGATTATTTACTAATGGAGAGCATTACTGGAAAACTACAATGCAACAGTGGGCAGGGAACAGACAAGTACTCATTCGTTTTTGGAAGAGAGTTTTTCTGTCATTTTTCATTTTTTGGGTTTGTTGCTGTAACTAACTTACATATTTGTTTTTACAAAGTAAGCCCCGTTAGTGAAAATTATTTTATGCTCCCTTGCTACTATACCAACAAAATGAAATCCAAGTTCTTGCATGATGTGACATGTAAACCATTTGCGCTGAAGTGACTGCCAGAAATGGATGGAAAGTTCTTATCCTGAAGAAATACTCAAATAAAATACTAGCATAATCTAAAATTATTTACTGAAAGTAACTGCAGAATATTCTGTGTCCTCTCTTCTCAGAAAATTTATTTAATTGGGTCTAGTACTCAACAACTTACAGCATCAGCAGAAAAAGTGATCTATTCTCCCTTCTTTGCTGGGTAAATCTGAAAACAAGTGTTTTTTTTTAAAAAAAGGAAGACATAAACCATTTTTGTTGGCATTTCATGGGGAAAGAAAACCCTTTAGTGTGCTGACATCTAAGGTAAAGCATGCATGTTTTCAAAGAAAGTATTATAAGAGTGTTACAAACACTAACATTTTGCCAGTTTCACTCAAGATCCTGATACAGGCCAGGTTTTAAGAGCTGGATAGCCCCAGCTCCACCTAGATGCTCTGATCACAACTGCATGCACTTATCTCACTTAACATTCCTGTATGCCATGATTCAGCTTCATTTCCTTTCTTCAATGCAGTGAAAAGTCATCAGAAATAGATAAATGGATTATTCCTTTTTGATAACACAACTTCAGATTTTCCAGACACCCAATTGCTCCTTTGCTCAGAGAAAATTCGAACTGAGCACCCATTTTTCGGCACCAGGAAAAATGTGACAGTTCATTAGCTTTTGCTATCCAACTCTAAAATTACAGTCACATCAATCTACCTCCTCTGTCCTATGGAGCTTCTCTGTTATCACAAGGCTATTCAAAATTTCCCCAAGGGCCAAGACCAACACTTGGAAAAGAGTCTAACTTTGCACGAAACCAAAAGCATGCCCTGCCCTCCACCAGCTCAGACACCCCCACCCAACCTCATTCTTCCTAGTGCTGTTATTTCAGCCTCGTATCAGCTCTCAGTCTGAACACAGCTGGGAGCAGTGATCTCCACCCTGCCCCCCCAGCCTGTGCAACCTTAGTTTCAATCTTTTATTCATTCATTCTTTCACTGACAGAAATATCAAGAGGTTTCTTTAAATGACAGCAATATGCCTGGACTACCGGTCTGCCAGAAGGATTCTTCAGCATTGTGTAAATAACCAGCTGTTAGAGAGAGACTGCTTTGAAGTTACCACTTGCTGCACCCACAGCACTTGGGCTGGATCAGCTTTTACTGGGCTACTTTCGTGGCAAGCTCTTTTTGTCCCATCTGAAGAGTTTCTTTGTGAGCAATGAATGAGAATGCATCTTGGGAATGCTCTGATACTTCAAAAGATGATTCTTGTAGTTTATCTTGCAGTAAGCTTCTCCTCTGAAGGAAACGCTGCAAAGCCCTTGTATTGATCACAGTCTTTTATCACTGGGCTGTCTCCCCTATCACTATCCAATGCAAATCCTTGCAAGCTTTAGCTTTTATTAATTGATATATGTATATTCTGTCTTTTATAATGCAATACATTTTTTCTGCAAATGCTTCAAAACAAGTTGGTCCTGCTGAAGCCTATGAAAGTTTACTCCCTGCCTGGTGAATAACTGCAATTTAGACTATTTTTGGGATAGTAAAGTCAAGAATGTCTTTATGTTTAAAAACCAGAAGTTTAGGGCGTTGGAGCTGCTTTGTTTAGCTGTGTTTCCTCTACTAGGTTTCAATGGAGGTAAAAATAAAGCAGCATTTGCACACCTAAGCAGCCAGCAAAAGGTGGAAGTTAAAATCAGAAAAGGAAAACTGACAGCGAAAACACATTTAATACAAATTTCTAACCTGCAATCACTTGTAGGAGCAGTGAAGACTGACATTTAAAACCATACCACATTTATCACATTCTAAGCATCCCTATAGTTTCCTATGTACTCAGACACAAGTTTATTCCGAAGATGTTGAAAATTGTTTTAAAATACTTATTAACTTTTAACTGAACTTTGAAACTATTAATTTTTTAACTTAAGAAGACCAATGTCATAGCTGGTTTTGTCTTTTTTTTACTTACATCTATGCCCATATACTTGATTTATCCCTGGTCACAGAAAAATTCAACTATTTTAATACTCTTTAGCTTAACTGCAATGACACTTGGATGCTTATCTGAACACAGTACTGAATATGGATAATCCCTTAGGCTGAACATCTCTTGCTCACAGCAGCACCAAGAGTACCAGCTCATGGGTTTTAACACATGATTTTTAGCAGGCAAGTATTAGATATTTGAGCAAATGTACATACTTTACAAAGCAATCCTGGCAGCGTTCTCTTTTGCTGTGGTAGATTTCTGGGTGTTTTAAACTTCCTTCCTAAGAAGGTTACATGGTCATGGAAAAACTCCTGCTCAGTTCTGTAGGTATTTTTTCCTCATTTCATGCAGAACTTTTCAAAAATGCCCTTCTGAAAACCTTGTAGCATTCTGCAATTTTAGCTTAAACGATTTTATGCATCAACAGAAACAATCACTGAAGCTGCTACTGACTGGTAGCTGGGAAACAAAGTAAGAGCAATTCAGGAAGAACCTTTCTGTCCTTTTCTTCTGCTTTGAGTTACACTACCAATCTTCCCAGCCAGATTCTTTCACCTTTGGATTAGAGTACATCCTACAGGCAATGAAAAAAAACTAGCCCTAAAACACAGGTTTACATCTGTTTTATGTGACAAGGATTTTTCCCTATGTTTAGCAAGATGATGTAATTTTCTGCTGCTTCCTGTCTTCGTTCACTCTGAAGCCAGATGGCCAAGTTACATCACATGACAATGGGAAGACCCTTGCACAAACTAACAATGAGAACGAATTGCTTATTATCAACATGAGCCAGGTGATTTTTATAGTATGGTGTAAAATGCAAAGTGGATCCTTTCAGTTTCTCTTTTCAGCATTTCTGACTTTTCTGTCTTTATTATGAGAGTTACTGTCACGGCAGTTGGGATACTCAGAATAGAAAAAGAAAACAAAAAAATCATGAGCAGGCAACAAACCCTAGAGATACCCAACATGCACACAGCATGGCAGCTCCTCAATATGCTCCAGAGATGCTGTGCCAAGCTACAGCAGCTGATTCTGGGGGCAGGGCCAGCAAGCGTGGAAATGGGGTCAAAAAGCAAGGAGCTGGCAGGGTTTCTCCAGCATTAATGGAGGAGAAAGCTAAATCTAAAAGTGAGCTCATGTCTGAGCCAAGGACAACCAAGAGAGCTGGTGGGAGATGGGCAACAGTGGAAGGAGACCTGGTGATACCTGGGGTCCTCTTTAACAGCTGGCTTGGGAAACAGCTGTGATTTTGGCTCCCAGGTCCACTTGAGCTTCCTCCAGCACAACCCTATTCGGAATAATTCAGTACATATGGAAGGAAGCACTGAATGCATATTCACAGAGGTGGAAAACCAAAGCATGATGGTGTGGCATTTTCACAAGTATCTGTGGGTTTTTTTCAGGCAAAATACCTGGGATTCAGCAAGAGCTTTATCTCAAAATGGATACTTCAGAAACTTTAACCATACCTGTCTGACTTAATTTACACAGGAAGACAGTATCACTACAGAAGTTTAACAGATGGGAGTTTCAGAAAACTAACACATACTTATCCCTCTGTAATCAGTCACGATGGAATTAGAGCCAGTAGTCAGTAACTGATTACCTGATTACAAGGTAATGAGCACAAGTTCAATCCTGGCTGGAAAGCAATTGTTTTCAGAGACACAAGTAACTTCAGTTGTAGACATGGTTCACACTGCTATGCTAACAGAAAAATAAAAGCCTTCAGAAACTTACCACTGAGGTAAGAGCCATCTGAAAACTGTAGATTCGTGCAAGGCCAAAGTCAGCTAGCTTTATCTGCCCGTTGCTGGTTACAAGGATATTCTGGGGTTTCAGATCCCGATGCACCACACGATGGGAATGCAGAAAATCCAGTCCCCGAAACAGCTGAAGCATCATATCCTATATATAAGGAAGAAATCAATATGAAGTTATCAAGACAAGGTGGCAGGCAAACAAGTAAATCCCCTGTCATAATCTGAAAAACTAATTTAATAAACATTGACTTAAATACGTGCACAGGACATAAAGCCAACTATTAATATAAAATGGACAGGATGTTGCTAGAATGAATGGAATCAAACCAATGTCCTTATCAAGTTAATGTATGGTTTCTAGTTGAATTATCTGAGGTTGATTAACAGTATAAAGATTAATCAATATACTTTAAAAAAATATCAAAAGTATATTTCTAAATCCCTGGACAACTTCAAAAGAATGCTGTCCAAGTAAGAAAAATACATAGCAGTTTTTGCTCTTAACTTTAAACCACAGGCCACTTTGTATTCTCACCAGCTTATGTTCTGCCCTTCCATGGTGAAGTGCATTTTTATCATTCATTTTAACAGGCACAATGACCTATTTCAAACAGAAAAACTGCTTGAATGGCAAATTTAATTTTATTTGAAGTTATAGAGGGAAAAAGTTCACTTGGCAAAACTTGTTGTATAGAATTTACTGAATAGGACAGAAATTACCTTTAGATGAAAATTTAGCCCTAAAACAGTGTAATAATCATAATTCTGATTCTTCTTTCTGTTTTGTTATAGTGATACAATCTTCCATGACATTTCCACAGCTGAAGAAACTATTTTATCTTACTCATGTTTTGACAATCTTAGTAATGTGAAAAGAATGAACCAGCAGACTCAAAAGCAAATACTAGAAATCCCCTGCATTCCAAATTAAAAGGATACTGTCAACTTGAAAATTATATTTGTGGAACAGGCAGCTACAAGAAGATGCAGCAATAAGAAAGAAAGAAAAAATTGAGAAAGAAGTTTATTTTCTGCATGCAATTGACTTGAGCTCATGAAACTGCAGTTCTGTGTATGCTGGTGACATATGCCTTTTCCATAAACCATGCAGCAGGGTGTCCTCCAATCCTGTTGTTAGCAACCAAAATCATCTTGGAGAAGGGCATGGCACGAAAAAGAAAACGGAGGAAGGATAACTTGAGGTCAGTTGCTTTTGTTCTTCTCTATGGACTTGGGGATGTTGCAAGTAAACATTCAAAGCACACTACTGAAAGGAATTATATCTGAACATGGGTATAAAAATAGCTCAAAACATTCGGCTTGATAATATTGGTTAAGTTGAATGCATTTTTAAGGTAGGCTTTGGAGATATTGCTAAGTAATTTAATACAAAATTATTCCTTCCTTGTAGTGTTTCCTGATCCTTTATATAGAAAATATTACATAATGTATAGATATTAAGTTTGGAAGCTCTCACCTGACCTCTGATAAAACAAGGCCATTTCTGTATACAGCCAGCTCATAAATCAATCAGCTTTTATTTAAAGATCCCAATTACGGAGATTTTACCATGAAATTATGGATGCTGTGACAGTATTAAATTATGATCACCTCTGAAGGAAGGTGGTGAACTCCACTTCCTGCTAGCTGATGCCTTTTATTTCCTTTGCTTCCCCAGAAAAAAACTGGGAATAGATAATTTTGGCAACTGGTATAATAGGGTTTGGACTGTAAAAGAAATATACAAACTATACTGAAATCTCCTGTATTTATACAGGTTTTTTTGCAGTTCAGAAATTTGTAAGAACTTGGGCTACAGCTCTGCAGGTTTCAGTCATCAGCAGAATTAATGTATGTAATATCTGGTCACTCTGTGCCATTTTTTTACCAAATCCCAAAAGTCTTTGGATCAGTCTTGCAGACACAAAGAACATGCCAACAACATTTAGGCATATGGTTATTTTAAATATGAACTTAGTTGTTTCACTGAATTTGGGCCAATTTTTTTCTTTTTTATTCCATGTTGGCATAGTATCAAATAAGAAAATTATTTAAATAACTGAAGTATTAGTCAGTAGACCCTGGCAAGTCCCTTTCTGGTGACTTTTATGTATCCTATTCATTTGTAAACTCATTCAGGTAGTTACCAAACATATCAAGAGTATTTTTTCCAACAACTGATGCTGGTTTTGTTTCAACTTTCTTCCTCAAGCTCAGCATAACAAAATTCTGCTCTGCTCATTTCAAGATTCAAGCAATGTCTTCAGGTTCTAAATTCAGAGTTTTCTTCCAGCCACAGGTAAAAAAAGAAAATATTTGAAAATGGAAACTGGTATATCTTCCTCTCTACTCATAGGACTCAAAAAATGAATATCATTTACAGAAGTTCTCTTCACACACAAAAAATAAAATATGCTGCAGAAAAGTGAACTGGGAAAGTGTAAATTTAAAAGGTGTTAGAAAGAAGAAGAGCAACTGGAGGGAAAAAAGTGCCATATCTCCTCTTCCAGGAAATTCAGGGTTAGTACATAGAAACTGTTTTCCAGTATTCAGGTTGGACTGTTGATTACACCCATTACTTTCTATGATCAGTATTAACAGATTTCGGTTCAAAATTATCTGGAAGAACAAGCCAAAGGTTTGTGTGTGTAAAAAAAGGCACTTGGATGTAGAAAGACTGTTTGCTATTTGTGATTCCCTGTTTTTAAACACTCAGCAAGTTAGAGCAGAAGCCAAAATCACAACATAGGCTTATTATTATGAACTTTAAATAAAGAATAACAAATGCAGCAGCTTAAAATTTTGTGATGCACGCAAACCCAGTCAAAAACCATCAGGCCTTGCTTTTGAAAAATGATTTCATTCACTTGGTCAGCCACTTGCAAGAAACATAAGGCAGGGTCTGGGATCTGTGCTTTCTTTGACACTGTAACTAATATCAGAAGATACTAACCTTTGCTAGCAAATTGGATAAAGGCTGTAAACATGCACAAGCCAGATCACTACCTAATTAAATCAGGATAATTTCACTCATCTAACGGAAATGCATCCATTTTTATTAGTGACGAATACCCAGTATTATCTCAATTACCAAGTTCTAGAAATAACTGCAGGAGAGTCTTCATGTGCCTCAAGGATTATTTTCTTCCATGTCTGTTTTTCCCTGAGAAATTTTCTGTGGTAGATAGGCATACCACACTTTGGAATTACAGGGACAATTATATTTCAAAAGCTAATTGAAAAACAATCAATTCTATGCAACAAACAAAAACCTGTGTGTCTTAAGAGATCGAAGGAACAAGCTCTAATGAGTCATGAGCAAACCTCTACTGATGTTTATCAGTGCTCTTTGGATATTGTATGTTTGCAAACAAAGACACAGAATGTGCCTGTTGATTCAGATTAGAGATTTCTGCCATCACAAAACCTATGATAGTTAGCTGTTGCTCAAGTTGAAGATACATGCACGTATTATCCCACTGCAATTACTTTCAGACAATCACAGGTTTATTTTTTTTTTCTTTTTCAGGTTACATTTTCAATGCCATCTATGTGCAAATTTAAAATATTCACCTGTAACTCAACTGAAAACTGAAAATTGTAAACTGTTTTGGGATGCAATGAACACGTACAACTTCTTTAGAGGAAAATATGTATTTTTAATTTTTTAAAAGTCTCATAATGAAAACAGGAGTGAAATTTGTTATGGAAATGCTGCATCTCTGCTTGTTCCACCATATAAGGTATTGATGATGATTGCTCAGTCTGACATTTACTGAATTTATCAGCTCTGAATGCCAGGACCAAATTCTGATGAACTTTTCAAGCTACACCGTATTATGTCATGAATCTCAATAATACTCAGAAAAATATCCTGCATACTCTTCCTGTGTCATCAGTGATGATGGGGCTGTGCTTGGGCTAGGCTGAGCAGCTGCTTCTGCTGCCTCTGCCAAAGGCAGTACTCATGGCTCATGTTTCTTGACTCAGGCAGCAGGAACAGAAAGCCCTGATTTCCTATACATTTTCGTCTCCACCTTGTCCTAGCCCCTCTCTTGACTCTATGCTTCACTGACCCCTCTTAAACCTCTTCAGCATCTGATCCATAAATCCCTTCCAAGCTATTGGCTTTCAAATACCACTCTGATCCTTTAAGAGTCACCCAACATCTTGACTCCCAAGAAAAACACCTGTTAATTATCTGCAGCAACTTTCTGCTTGTTTAAGACCTGCCAAGATTCTCTGGAGGACTCTGCCTGGCTAACTCAAAAGAGGATGGCATGGCTGTCAACCAAAACATTCAAGTATCTACTCAAAGACAAAAGAAACCATGGAGCTGGTCTCAGTGTCAGTGCCTAGGACCAGCAGCCAGGACTGGAGGGGCTCAGCCAGGGGACACCAGGGGCTGTGCCCTGCCAGACACGCTCAGCTCCAGCCAGCTCCGACGGACCCAGCCAGGACTGTGGCGCCTCCATGAAGATAGGTTCAAGGGCAGAAAAGGCTGCAGGGGAAGAGAAGAGAACAAAGGGAGTGAGAAACTGCACAGGAAAAATCAAGGTGAGAGAGGAGGAAGAGAAGTGAGAGGAGAAAGAGAAAGCAGTCCAGGGTGGAGCAGTTATCCACATGGCAGATGCTCCTGAGGGAACTGCAGCCTGTGGAGATGACCTAGGGCACAGCAGGCACAAAGCGTGAGGAGGAAGGAGCAGGACACAGGAGCTGCTCCTGTGCTTCTTGGGCTGGGAAGATTCAGAAGTCATGTATAGCCTGGAGAAAGGCATGAAGAGGTATTACTTGAATACCTGTTCTTTTTTTGCCCACCGCTTGAACTAGCAAGTATCTACCTTGACTGGCATTAGACTAAGTTGATTTTCCCCAGGATAAATCTATTTTGCCCATGATGGTACTTGGTAAGCAATCCTTCTCTCTTATCCCAGCCTATGAGTTTTCGTGCTCCTTGTTGCTCTCTACTTTCTATAGCTGAGATGGAAGAAGTCAGTGAGTGCCTGGATGGGAGTTTGACTGCTAGAAAAGGCTAACTCCCCACCCTGGTGAAGTACGGATGCTAGGTTTTGTCTTGGTAAAGGGGAACAAAGTGAGATGCAACCTGAAGGAAAACACCAAGAGTAATATATCTTCAGAGAATAC